TTAATTTCTGTTTAGATTTAATACCAATTTATTTCCGTATATCACGTTTAACCTGTTTAGTTTTACATCTACATGCTTATTATCTGTGAATTTTTACTACCATATGCTTAATATATTGTTTAGTCTGCTAACTAGAATTTACATGCACTAAAAATCACGTTTACAAAGTATCACGTTTACGGCTCGCCTCAGCGTCGATGAAACACGAGCTTGGCGAGTAAAAATGGAACGGCGCCAACGGGTTCGCTCCCGAAGCGCCAACGGGTTCTCTGCGGATGAAAACCCGAACTTTCGTCTGATTGGTTGTCTCTACCCGGGACCCGAGACATTTTCGGTGAGGTTTGAAAAAATCCCGCGTAGTCGCAACATTGCTTCCGTAACTAAGAGGGACTTCGCTTCAGGCGGGGCTCTTTTTTCTAGGATTCTTCCCGTTTAAATCAGTGCTACCAGAATCTTGTTTCTCAGAAAAGTCCCGTCTAGCAGGGACTGTAGCCTTGTGTGATAACCTCTTTACATTTACTTAGTTAAGACAAATTCGTTATTTTTGATTTAAGTCATAATTGCTGGCCTTTTTGTAAGCACAAATGGTACTGTCTGTTAACTTGAATTAAATAAAAGTGTTATTGTTATTTACAACTTTTCCCAGTCTGTGTGGTATTTTACATATCATAGTGATAATTCACTTAAGGTTATAAGGTATTTCTCTCGCCCTCTTGGCATGCCTTCGTGGTGTGGTGGTCTGCACGCTAGGCGTGTATTCCGGAGGTCCGTGGTTCGATTCCCGGCGAAGGCATTGCATATTTTCAATCTCTCTTGTTTCCAAAAAATACCTAATGTCTCTACAGTGGCGCCCAAACTAAAAGGGTGTTGGATGATGATTCTCCTCACCCAGGATTTGGCGATTGGGTCCTCTAAAAGTCTCCCCAGTCGCCGTTTAAAAGGGGGAGTATATAAGGTATTTCTCCCGCCTTCTTGGCATGGCTTCGTGGTGGGGCGGTCTACACACTGAGCGCGGATTCCAGAGGTCTGTGGTTCGATTCCCGGCGAAGGGGTTGCTAATTTTTTATCTTGACTGCTTCCAAAAATTCTAATGTCTCTACAATGTCTTAGAGGTTTCTTACATTTGATGCTACCAAAGAAGACGAGACATCGTATTTTTAAAACTTAGAATTGAAAAAATTATTTTAAATTTTAAAGATTTTATATATAGAAGAATTTTGAATTCCCCCTGAAAATGATACTAGAGTATATGCCCCATTTACCCTTGTGCAAATACCGCTGTGACCACTGCAGCTAAGAAAACATAGAAAAGAAGTAGAAGTACTAAAACTAACAGGAAAATATTGTTAAAAATTTAGCCGTACTTTCAAATTTAATTCCGAGAATAAATTCACCTGGTTACGTTAAGTTAAATCAACATTCAAAATAAAAACAACATACTGTAATAACGAAAGTATACCTGCCGCTAGAAAAGAAGAAGTTAAGTTACAATAGCATATACTTTACAAGAGAATGCGAACAAAATCGTGTGTGTGAATGTATTTCAGGGTTATTGGATCCATAAACGCTGGTTAAGCGGCAGGATACTGCTCTGTGATATCTCAGGAAACATTCTTCGCACACTTGCCAGTTTCCTACACAGGTAGCTGTCTGATCTGTCGTGAGAATTAGGTCTAATCAACATTTTACTCTTGTCGTCCAGGAAGTCGGCGAGCTGTCTGGTTCCTTAATGACCACTAGTCGATGTGCTGCCAAGAATTCCAGTAGTATCGCAGCTCCTGAATCTTCATCTGTAGCTGCCCAAAGAGGGCTAGTGGCATTGAAGTCTCTTACTATTATTGCCAATTGTGATTTAAATGTCTAGGCTGGTTTTCAGCTTGAATAACATCTCAGAATTAAAACTTGCGATTTGATCTTCTAAGTCCTTCCGGCTTGCTCACAAACATCGCTTATTCCACCTACTGCGAAATGTGAGAGATTATATGCTCTACCTCAAATTTATAGAAGTATTTCATTAAGCCTTACTGTACTGAATTTAAGCACTGCCTCTTTCTTGTTTGCTAAATATTTAGTGTCGAAATTCTAGGCTTTACTAGTTGATAACATACAATATAGCTAATTCACCAGAGCTTAAAAATAGATTTCTCATACAAATTTAATCATGATTTCTTTTGATATAAAATCGTCATTCAATAGTGTTCCATCAGAAGGTTGCTTATACACCCAGAAACAAGGCTTCGAAAGTTTGATTTCTAATGCTTCGAACTTGATGAGTTAATTGTACTTACTCAAATTTATCTGAAAGAAACACATTTTGTTTTCCAGTGGATATCACATGTCTTCCTCATACTGCCTATTAAATTATGCTTTTTAGTCCAAAGGGGCTTTGTCCCTGAAGGACTATTGTTCTCGTTTTGCGATTTTGCTTTGAATCACTATAAACGGCGAGTTACTTTTCAAACTTTTGCCACCCAATGTTAGAGTCCTGCATTATATTTGAAGAAATTAAATAATGAAATATCTGCATAAAATTAAAATTATATTTCTTGCATTGTGATAAAACAACGGTACCTAGAGCCATCGTATTTTGAACGACGTAATCCTACTGCGAATATAGGCATGTAAAAGCACAAATTTGAAATATGTAATTTGTTTTATTATCGATTTCATATTTTGTAAAACTTTCACGAATTGAGTAAAAAACTCAACGATTTAAAAGCGAGCAATGGCAACACTCTACGGTGGGAAAAAAACCTTTTTATCTCCAGCGCGCGGAACTGTGCATCGAAAATTCTAAAGACATGCTCATTTTAAAATTATTTTGCGACATTGCTATTGAACTGAATTTTATGGTTTAAGTGCGAAGAACATGATATTTAATAAATAAAGGTAACACACTAAACGTTAAAAAAACGCCCCTTTGGACGTAATTAAAAATCTGAAACTTTTTAGATTTTTTTTTATCTGGATCGTCTGGGACGCTCTAAAGCCGAGACATCATTTGTAAAATAGTTTTTACAAAAGATTTAGATATAAATTCTGTTAAGGATTTCCCACTCAAGGACATTATTATTAAATCTAAAATGTCTTGTAGTTTCATCTTTTAATGGAAAACTAAACAACGGGACCTCAGCCCCCATCCTTGAGGTTAGCCAATTTGATACCCGACGATTTATGGAAAACGCATGGACTTTTCCAGCACTTTTTAAGGTTATTTGCAGCCGGTTTGGCTGAATTTAAGGGCAATCAGACAGGACTGCAGGAAAGTATGATATGACTATGAAATGGAAAACGTGTGTTCCTCTTAGAATGAATAAACAAGTAAATAGAAAGAACAAAAGACTCACAAATTAGATATTTTATACGCTCAACAGATCTTACGCTTTCGTGAACCCTTGTGCTACAGCTCACCCGTGGTTACACAGTAACGTCTTTTCAATTTTTTTTTTAATTAGAAAGTCCTCCACGAAGGCATCCCTACCCTTATGCAGATAGCACTAATGTGCTTTGCCGTAATCTCAATAAACCAATGTACCAAACCAAGTTTTTTAAAATAAATTCATTATGTATCTTAAAATGTTAAAAATACTGTTTTAATTTTAATCAGACTTATTTTTAGCGTAATTCCACTCATAGTTCAAAAATATCTGCAAGTCAACATTATGCATTTAAATTTCTATTAAAAGTTTTTAAATAATTTATAATTTACTCACGTTTGAACTCATAATACTTTAGAATTATAGCACATGATTACCGTTCTTTTGTTACTAGGAATTTTTGTCATGATTTCGATATGAAACCTACAGAAAAGCAAAATTAATTGCTAGTGATATGCTAACATCTTCAACCGATCCTCGCATATCCGTTAGTTTACTGAAGAAATTGTGCTGCCATCTCGGGGTAGTACACAGAAATAAAATATGACAAGAAATAAAATTCCAACAAAAATGAGTTTTTAATGTCAGGCTCTTTCTTTTGGTGTTTGATCATGGAAAGAGTTCTATTTATCACATAAAAGGTACAATAGGAAATTAGTAAAACAATGTATAATGTTGGAAAATTACGAACAAAAAATATACAGATATTTGCCATACTATTTGCCTAAAGAAACATAGCTTAGGTTATGATAAGGGGTGCTGGATTTCAAAACAATGTAGTTTGTATCTTGTATTTACTTTCCTTTAATTTTATACTTATAATTTTACAATACTTATTACTTTTACTTTTTTGGCCACTAATAATTGTTGTTAGTTTGGTTTCTTGGAAGTGGCAGCAGGGCAGTTCATAGAATTAGGAAAATATGTTTCTGCAGTTAGTTAGGCTTATTGAAGATTAATTGTATGTTATATACCTGAGTGATGTTTTATTAAATAAATGAATACTTTAGAGCAAGGGTCTCCAAACTACGGCCCGAGGGCCACATCCGGCCCGCGGAGAGCTAGCATACTTGAAAACTCCTTTTAGAGAACATATTTTTTATAGCAAATTAAATTTAGTTTACTGAAGTATTCTAATTTTGTGTTGAATAATTATTAATATGACATCTACATTGATATGGTCATGGGCTAACTACTCATAACATTGTTGTAGGCTTATTGTTATTGTTTTTGTGATAAGTTGGATAAAGAAACACAAAATTGTAATGAGTAAAGACATGTATAATATGCAGAAAATTTAACTTCAGTATATAATAACTAACAAATTATTGAAATGAATCCAACTAACATTTTATACATTTTAAATAAAAACATAACTTATAACAAGCATAATGACATATGAAATACTAATGAAATTTATGTAATTGAGATTTTCCACTGACAATAGTTTGTAGTTGTGGACTAATTTTACTTGTACCAATTATTAAAAGAGATTTAAGATGCTCATCAGTTAATTTAGATCTGTAAACATTTTTTGTGTACTTCATTTTGGAGAAGGTCTTCTCACACAAATAAGTAGTACCAAAAACAGAAAACCGCCCACGAGCAAATTTATGCAAATTATCAAATTGTGTCAGTGGAAAGACTCTTATAAAATTCCAACAAAAATGAGTTTTGATATTTGTTCTTAATTATATCACTGCACTGTAGATCAATCATTCCATTTGAAGTTCCGGGGCTAGGGTAGGGTTCAATGTCAGTATCAAAAGGATTCTGAAAAATCTTAATTTGATTCGCAATGGCATCAAAGTCCGAGAAACGAGTATCAAAATTTATTTTCAAAGCACTCAAAGTTTCGATTGCAAAATCGATAGGAAACTCAGTCTCAGTGGTGTGGCTGAATATTTCACATGTTTTAAAATGTGAAAAACATTTACTTCGTAGTTGTGATTGAAACAGTATCAATTTCTTCCGGAATGATTTGATATTAGTGTATAAATCAGAAAGATGCTGGTTTTCTCCTTGCAATCTCAAATTCAGTTCGTACACATATTTTGTCAAATCAACATAGAATGCTAACTTCCACAGCCATGCGTTGTTTTGTAATTCAGTAAGAGGGCGATGCTTTTCATTCAAAAAAATTTCAATCACTGCTCGAAGTTCAAAAAAGCGCTGAAGGACTTTCCCACAACTAAGCCAACGTACGGTTGTATGATAAGGTAAGTCATTTTCTCCAATCTCTTCAATAAATTGTCGGAATTGTCGGGGATTCAGCCCAAAAGATCTGATAAAATTAACAGTTGATATGACTGGTTTCAGAACTTCATATCCAAACATTTTCCGCACAAAGACTGTTGATGAATGATACAATGTAAGACTGATGGTTTTGAACCACCGTCATTTTCTATAGCCTTTGACACATGAGCGACCACTCCTTTATCTTTCCCACTCATGTTTTTGCCTCCATCAGTTGTAATACATTTCAAGTTCGAAGGTTCTTTTGATTAATGGCCATTTCAACTCCTTTAAAAATATCTGTACCAGTAGTTGTGCCATGAATACTATACATATCAAGAAGTTCTTCATGCACTTCATAGCTTTTATCTACTCCTCGAACATAAATCAACACCTGAGCAGTATCTGACACATAGGTTGACTCATCCAAGGCCAAAGAAAACCACTCAACATGTCCATTTTTGTCGAACAGTTGAGAGGATATATTTTCAGCGATGTTTTCTACCCTTCGAGCCACAGTGTTTGCATACTGACAGTTTTTAATAAATTTACCTTTTCAGGGCATATTTCTTCGGCTACTGCAATTTTGCATTCTTTGATCATTTCTCCATCGGTGAATGGTTTTCCACGTTTTGCAATTTCAAGAGCCACATGAAAGTTGGCACGAGTTGCAGCCTCTTGTTCAGTTTTGAGTTTTGTAAATGAAGATTGCTGCGATTTCAATCCGCGCTTCATAGCTTCGAATTTCTCTGTCCGCAAACTTCCTGTATATTTTGAGTAATTTTGAAAATGTTTTGTTTCATAATGACGTTTAATGTTATATTCTTTGAGAACGGCTATGCTTTCATTGCAAATCAAACATAGCGCCTTGTTACTGGACTCAATTACGAAATACTGAATGTTCCACTGATCTTTGAATTTTCTGCATTCACTATCAATTTTTCGCTTCTTTACCATACTACTAAATCACACACAAAAGCAACAATTCAAATCAAAATACTGTTATAAAGATGTCTTAAACACGCACAAACACGTTTTAAGGAGGTACGCACTATTTTATTTCACAACAGTGTCATAGGAACTGACTTCTGTACGTGCTATTAGCGCCATCTGTTAGCGATAGAAGGTACTACCTATTTCCGCTTGTGTCCACCAGATGTCGTGTCACGTTACTCCTCATGGCTCGTACTCTACGACTAATCTAGAAATTACAGATAATGACAGGAAAATGAATAATATGCAGTGTTGCCGTTTTGCGGACTTTAGTCCGATTTGCAGCCTTTTTTAAACGTTGCGTACTTTTTTTTCCATCAGTGGACTATTTCACTCTTTACCACCGGCAACAATGATAATATGGTTTTGGCCCTCGGAACTTACTGGAGTAATCAGTATGGCCCTAAGGCTGGAAAGTTTGGAGACCCCTGCTTTAGAGTATAGTAGTCTCTTTAGAGTCCGTGATACGCTGGTAGCGTAATAGTTTGACGCGTAAGCGAACAAAGGGTTGGTAGCTTTAACGTGATGGAATTTTACTCACTTACTGATACAGTTACTCTTATTGTTCTATGTTTTTTTATTTATTAAAAGGAATTTTTTAAATTAGAGTTGCTTTTAAAGTAAAAAAAAAAAAAATTAATACTTAATGACGGATTTTAAAACTGGTTTCTCTGTTTTATTGTTTGTTTCTTCCAGTCAAATCTGAAAACAAATTTTTAACTTAACTTTTAATGTCTACCGACCCAAATTTCTTGAAATTTCTTACGTGTATGCATTTTCTATAGCTGTATATTATTCCACAGATAATTTTACACAGTTACAAACAATATTTCCTTCCTCAAACTTTTTTTTTTTTTTAGCTGGGGTGTATAAGTGTGTGGCAGTGATTTTCCTATTTTATTATTTTCCTTCTTTTCATGGACTAAAATGTAAAGATAAAATAAATAAGGAAAAAAAATCTGAAAGGTTTCAGATTTTAAATTACGTCCAAAGAGGCGTTTTTTTAACATTTTGTGCGTTGTCTTTTTATTTATTAAATATTATGTGCTTCGCACTTAAACCATAAAATTCAGTTCAACAGCAATATCGCTAAATCATTTTAAAATGAGTATATCTTTAGAATTTCCCATGCAGAGTCTTGCGCGCTGGAGATAAAAATGTTTTATTTCGTACAGTGTTGCCATTGCTCGCTTTGAAATCGTTGAGTTTGTTAATCAAAAATTCGTTGAAATGTTGCAAAATATGAAATCGATCATAAAACAAATTTCAAATTCAAATTAGGGCTTCCACATGCCCATATTCTGTGGATTCTTATTAAAATTTTGATGGCTCTAGGTATCGTTATTTTATCACAATGCGAGAAACATACATACATTGCAGATTCGCCATTATTTAATTCTTTAATACAGGGCGATAATATTTGGTGGCAACAATTTGAAAAGTGAAACAACGCTTATCATGAATCGACGCAAAACGCATTAAAACAACAGGGGAAATCATTTTAACTTTTTAGCTGTGGTAATATACTTGATCATAATGAACAAAAAAATCAGACCGATAAGCTGCTAACAATGATGGATTTTTCAATATTGCAAAGAGAAACTTAAGCAGACGTTTTTATTTAAGTCTTTCTATTCTATCGTCTCCGTTGTTTCTTAAAATTTTTTAATGTTCAAAATGTAAATGTTAAACTTTGTAGGTAAGAACCGACGATTTACTTTATGGCCGAATAATAAGGAACAAAAATGATTCTCATTAAAACAGCTGGTCACGAAAAATTTCACCTCACCGTAATGCTTTCCTGCTTAGGGAAGGGTACAAAATTAAAACCCATACTTATTTTCAAACAAGCCTGATGCCAAAATGTAATTCCGAAATGATGTTTAAATTCATGTTCACGAGAAAGGATGGATAGACAGAAACGGTGTGAAATCGTTGATAAGAAATGCTTGGCAAAAGCGTCCTGTTGCCTTAAAGAATCCAGAAATTCTTTTAGTTGGGACATGTTCAGATCCTAGCTAACGGATAATACGAAGAAATTGTTGAATGAATGTAATAAGGGCATGGCAATTATTCCAGTCAGATTAAAGACATTGATTCAGTCTTCAGATGTGAGTATCAATAAATTCTTCAGAGAAAATTTTGAAACGACGATGGAATGCGTAGATATTAAAAGATGAAAAAGGAGACAAATGCGTCATGCCAGTCTAGAAGTAGTTTAATGAGTGGAAAATAAAAGCATGGAATAAAATTAAATCACATATAATTCAAAATTCATTTAGAAAATGTCGTATGTCTAACAATCTAGATGGAACGGAAAACGATTATTTATTTATCGGTTAGCCTACCAGCGCCTACCAGTGGTAAAGTCGCTGAATACTGGTAGTGCGGTCCGAGGTTCGAATCCCGCGAACGGGTTGGCTGCATGGACGTTTTCGTGGCTTTTCCCATGGTTAATGTGTATACGAGCCAGTTTCCCTTAAAGGTCCTCCAAGAAGGCATCCCTCGCCTGAGCCCTCGAGGCTTTGCTGTAATGACATAAACCAAACTTATTTATCGATCAGAGTAACAATGCTGGAGAAGATGAAACAGAACTCTATAAGTGCCTGAAGATATAACGGAAGTGACAAACTTTCCATGTTCTCCAGTAATGAAAACTTTTAACTTCATAAGGTGTATCATTCTTTTTAAATAAATAACATTTAGGTACATGTAGAAATCAATTTTTTTATGCTCATTTTTATATCCAAAGTATAACGCGCAACCGTAAATTCTGATCTTATTCTACGTATTAAAAATACGCGTTATACATCAGAATATACGGTATATAATTATATAATATATATATTATGTTACACGGTAATGCCTTGTAACATTTTATTCGACACAGTTTTCTTCTGATAGCTAGCACAGCATTTACTGTCTCAATATTTTAACAAGGTTTCTCTTTTCAATACATAACGCTTATTACATAGAATATTCCTTCAACAAGTGATATACTTTCTGGAAGATAAAGGAAAAAATTATATAATACCAGAAAGCTTGTGTCCTTTCGCTCATTAAACGTCTTTCATCATCTACCCATTTGAAATAGATATGCTGGCTTATTATTTGGACCATTTGAGATAGATATGCTGGCTGTACCCCATACAGCCAGCATATCTATCTCAAATGCGCCAAATAATTATCAGTATGTAATAATGCGGGCGAAAGGGGAAAGATAACAGTGAATTTTTACACCTAGTGATGTAGTATTTAAAAAGTGAATTAATGCATGAAATGGTGCCTAATATTGTAGTTGTATTAAAAATAGAATGAACACAAAAAATCCTGGTAGTTCATAGATATCTATTGTTTCTTTACCTACAACTGGCATCTTTTTTCTCAAACCAGCTTTCGGATGTCTGGATATTTGCCACTGTCACTACAGATTTTTAAAATAAAGGTCAGATAAATGTTTGCTAACCTGTATCTTCCTGATGACTTCTTGTTTCTAGTACTGAGGAAAATTGTTCACACCGTTACATACTACCGAATACAGAAATCAAGGAAAATTGACAAGGAAATTTGCGGCTTTCTGGGAATCGCGCAGACAATTATTTACAAAATTTGTGGATAATCACTTCACTGAATCTTTGTTTTAGAGTTGAATCGCACTGGATTTTTTTTAAATTCTATATGTTAAAGGGCTGCCCTTTCTTACCGACGATTGAGAGAATATTTTTAAAAGAGACAGTCTTAAGAGTCCTTTTCAGTACAGAAGATTATATTACTGCGATACACCCAGCTGCGGTAAGCTAGCTTTCCCGCAAGGCGGGTTTAGAGTTGCCATATTTGGCGACAAAAATTGAGGATATGCCATAGACGGAGAGAGAACACTAGAACGAATCTCTACCGTTTAACCCAGAATATTCTCGAAAGCAGGTCAAAAACTATATAAACGCTACGCCGGAGTGGGAATTTATCGTGAAGAGTATTTTGAGTACATTGAGTTCAAAAGTAGTGTCTTGAGCTCCGAGAGCGATCGACCGAGTCGGGAGCTGTACTTTAGTGCTTTGCCGTGAAGCTGTCTTCACCGTTATAAGCTGGTAGTATCAAGGCTGTGTTGC